TCTCTCTCTCTCTCTCTCCTAGAAATAAATAAAACATTAAAAAAAAAATAAAATAAAATCTTTACAAAAGACTATTTTAAGAATACTTTTTTCTTATTACTAAACAATATTTACATGTTATAAAATGCAAAAAAATCAGAAATGAAAATCATCCACGATTTTACTACTCAGGGATTTCTACCACCGACATCCTTCCAATCCACTTTTTCTAGAAACACACACACACACATTTTTTAAATATAAAAATGAGATCAGGGGCGCCTGGGTGGCTTAGTCGGTTAAGCGTCCGACTTTCGCTTAGGTCATGATCTCGCGGTTCGTGGGTTTAAGCCCCGCGTCGGGCTCTGTCCTGACTGCCAGCTCGGAGCCTGGAGCCTGTTTCAGTCTGTGACTCCCTCTCTCTCTGACCCTCCCCTGCTCACGCTGTCTCTCTCTCTCTCTCTCCTAAAAGTAAATAAAACATTAAAAAATTTTAAAAAAATGGGATCATACTCTACAAGAATACATAGTGAATGAAGATTTTGCTCTATATTTTTATATATAATACATATAATTTTAACTGCTGCAGAATATTTCATGGCATGAATGTACCATAACTTCACCAGTCCTTTATTGTTGGACACTTAGGTTATTTCCAGCGTTTCTACCATTATAAGCGTACCAAGATAAACACCCTAGCACCTAACCATGGATATGACATTCAAGGTTATTTTCTTGGGACACAACCACAGAGGTTGAACGTCCCAGTTTAAAGCCTGTGACAAATTACCTCCAGTAAAGGGATGTACCCGTGTTGGGTCTTACTGCCTGTTCACTCTGTGTCCAAGATCTTGCAGGCATATTGTTTCATCCTGGAGAAGCTACTAGAGAATGAGGAGACTCAAATTAATGGCTTCTGCATCATTGAGAACTTCAAGGGCTTTACCATGCAGCAGGCTGCCGGACTCCGGGCTTCCGATCTCAGGAAGATGGTGGACATGCTCCAGGTGAGGGCTCAGAACTTGGTCCCGAGGGAGCCTCTCACGGGTCGGGAGGCTGGGAGGCTGGGCCCAGTTTCCTGGGTTAACGGTGCCACTGAGGACCTAAGAAGGGGACCACCTAGCGCCACGATGAGCGACGGCAGCCACAGGCACTTGCATGGTGAAGGACAGTGAGCCACGTACGCACGTTAACTCCTTAACTCCTTGAGAGCAGTACCCACCTCTTCCCTGTTTCATTTTACAAACCTCGAAACCGAGGCTCACAGGTTTGAGTGACTTCTCGAGGTCATAAAACCCTAAAGTGGCAGAGGTCAGACTTGACCCTACAATCTCTGACCTGGAATCCTGTTCACTGTCCACATATGTCACACTGTCTCTCTCTGAACGCGACTTTGTTGCCATTATGGCCAATGGCTCCGACAACTCAGTCCTGTGTATACTGACGTGTCAGAACTCCTTTCTCAGAGCGAACCCTCTATCTCAGATTATGTGTATCTGGGAAAGGAGGGGTGGGAGACCGGGGTTTAGGGGGCACTGAAGGATAGGGAGACATGACGGCAGTGTCTCTGGGGTTTAGAGTAGTTTCCAATCCACTCAGCAGGCTAATGGGTGTGAAAAAACTCAGGTCACCTAAAAACCAAGCAAGGCTACCATTTCATTAAAAAAATTGTTTTTAATGTTCATTTATTTTTTTTGAGAGAGAGAGAAAGAGAGAGAGAGAGACAGAGCACGAGCGCGGGAGGGGCAGAGAGAGAGGGAGACACAGACTCTGAAGCAGCTCCAGGCTCTGAGCTGTCAGCACAGAGCCCTACTTGGGGCTCGAACTCCCGAACTGTAAGATCATGACTTGAGCCAAAGTTGGACACTTAACCGACTGAGCCACCCAGGCGCCCCTCATTTCTTTGTTCTGCCTAATAATGGCGGGGTTTGGTGCCTCAGCAGGGAGAGGGCTGGGCTGCCTGGCCTCCGGGGCTTCCTCCCTGCAGTTTGGAGCCTCGGTGAAGCCCAGGTTCCCCGGTTGCGAGCCCAGGGGCAGAATGTTCGGGGGGCTGTGCTTTGGGGGCAAAGCACGGGGGAAGGCAGGTCTGTCCTCCAGCCGTGGGGAGAGGCGGAGGGGGAGTGCATGGGGGCCTCGCACGGGGGCCTCGGAGGGCACGGCGGCCACTGGGCGGCGCTCTCTCTGCACCGCAGGACTCCTTCCCAGCCCGGTTCAAAGCCGTCCACTTCATCCACCAGCCGTGGTACTTCACCACCACCTACAACATGGTCAAGCCCTTCTTGAAGAGCAAGCTGCTGCAAAGGGTGAGTGCGTGGCCCCCCGCGGAGGCGCCCAGTGCTTCTCTGGTGAGTGAGTGGCGGTGCTGGTGGTTGCGGGAAGGAGGGGAGGGGACAAGGGTGGGCACGGTCCCCAAGCCCAATGACAGCACAATGCAGAGGAGGATGCCACCAGGCAGAGAGGGCATGCTGTGCTTTTCTCCTCTGTTCCTTTCCTTTCCTCCGTCCCTCAGCCCGAGGGCACCCCCCACCCCCTCCCGCCGCCCCCCCCCCCAACTCAGCTCTGTCTCCCCTGCAGGTCTTCGTCCATGGCGATGACCTCTCTGGCTTCTTCCAGGAGATTGATGAGGACATCCTGCCCGCTGACTTCGGGGGCACCCTGCCCAAGTATGACGGCAAGGCCGTCGCTGAGCAGCTCTTTGGCCCCCGGGCCCAAGCGGAGAACACGGCCTTCTGAGGACTTCCGTCAGGCTGTCCACCCGTAGTTAGCGACCCTGGGCTCTCCTCAGCCGTCCCGGAGCCCGGAAGGTGGGAGAAGGGCTGCCTGAGGTGGCTCCCCTGAGCCTCCCCGTGCTTGGATGAGTTCAGCCGTCACCCTCCTCCCAAGTTGGGGGGCCATAATACAGGGGGGTTCCCTTGAACGAGAAGAATTGGGAGCAGTTACATTCCCACTGACTCGGAAGCTTAGGACAGTGTCTTGCGCTGGGTCGAGTTTCAAAGACTCTCTAACGAAGCTTCTCTACGATGTCCTTTCCAGCAGTTTTGCCTCGGGGGTCTGAAGACAGGCAGAGAGGCTGATTGCTAGGTCTGTCCCCGCCTACGTAAATCAATAAATAAGATAATAGGATAAAAGAGCGGGGGCTATAAAATGATCTGGCAAACACGGCAATGTTGGCAATTTTGGCGGCCGGGAGGCAGGCGAGGGGCTTTCCGTATGGAATTCTGGGGTGGAAGTAGCCTTGAAGTGGCTGCGTTTTGTCATAGCCTGGTCCCCTCAGTCGGGGTAGCGTGACGTGTGTGGTGATGTGTGTGGTGACGTGTGTGGTGGCGGACCCCCCTTCCAGGCTGACGGTCGCGTCCCCTCCTGCCTGGGGTCTCCGCCAAAGGCTCTCTCTAGACACCTTGCCTGGACTGGTAGTGTTTTGTTTTGTTTTTATTTTTTTAATGTTTTATTTATTTCTAGGAGAGAGAGAGAGACAGCGTGAGCAGGGGAGGGTCAGAGAGAGAGGGAGTCACAGACTGAAACAGGCTCCAGGCTCTGAGCTGGCAGTCGGCACAGAGCCCGACGCGGGGCCCGAACCCACGAACTGCCAGATCATGACCTAAGCGAAAGGCGGACGCTTAACCGACTAAGCCACCCAGGCGCCCCACTTTTTTGGTTTTTTTTTAATTAAAAAAATGTTTATTTACTTTTGAGAGAGGGATTGAGAGGGAGAGAGAGAAAACGAGAAGGGGAGGGGCAGAGTCTCGAGAGGGAGACCCAGAATCTGAAGCAGGCTCCAGGCCCTGCACTGTCCGCACAGAACCCGACACGGGGCTCGAACTCACGAACTGTGAGATCATAACCTGCGCTGCAGTCGGACGCTTAACTGACTGAGCCACCCAGGCGCCCCAGTCCAGGAATCTTCTGATCCACTGAGTGTCCTTGTTCTTGTTTTCCAGGGTGGGTATATATATATATATATATATATATATGTGTGTGTGTGTACGTGTATATGTGAACGTACATATATATGCATTTATTTCTTATATCCCTTCTTTCATTTCTAGGGCTTGCAGTGTATGCTCATCACCCAAGTAACTTCCTTCTTTATAATATTCACAGTCGACAATCTATGGTCATAAATGATATTTGCCTAGGTCTTCTGAGCTGGAGGAGTAATCATAGCAAATTATTGTGGGTGGAGGGGTGGGAGGCTTGACCAGTGAGGATTTTCCCCGAACCCTTTATTGCAAATTCTTCCAAAACCCTTTAAAAGGCGAGGGTCCCCTTTTCCAAATCAAATCTTACCCGTAACTCTCATATTTAAGCCGGAAGGGGTGGAGCTGCTCTGATTGTACCCTAACGGATCTTCTACGACATCTAGAGCTGCGAAGGCATTTCCAGAATGAGGGCAGGAACCACTGTGCGTTGGTGCTGAGGGGTCAAGTGATAAGAGAACAGAGACTTGCATTCGCTGGGATGGGGGGCACTGGTGACCCCTCGGTAGAGGTGTTGGTAGAGGTGGGGTGGGGATGAGGCTGAGTTAAAGACATTTTTAAAGCATTCAAGATATACTTCGAATTCTTTTGTAAAAGAGTTGTATCCCCATCTGAGGGAAACTAAGGCAGATTCCTCTTGGAAGATTCCTGTCTTTCCCTCGGGCCCCCAGTTGCTAGAAGCCTTTGTCGATGCTGCCGGGGCCCACCCTCTGATTCGTGGGGCTCTAATTTACAAATGAGATCAGGATGTGGAGAAAACCCGAAGGCAGATGCCGACCAGGAGGCTCTTGGGGGGGGGGCATTGGCTCTAAGATCCAAATGGGTCACTGGGGTCTCCCCTACGGTCAGCAGGGCTAGCGTCTTCACTCGGGCCCGGGTCTGACCAGGAAGGCTGTGCGGTGGGGAGCCTGAGTCAGCTCTGACTGCGGGCCGGCACTGCCCCCTGCTGGTCGTGTCCTGGTACTGCCCCTCCAGGCACAGACCCCAGCCCCACAGGAAAGAGAGGTGGTGGGCAGACGGGGCCATATCTTGTCCAGGAAGGTGGTGCCACTTTTGGGAGAACGTGTCTGAGGACCTTAAAGGTGAATGTTAGAATCAGCCGGGCTCAGGGGCGCCTGGGTGGCTTAGTTGGTTAAGCGTCCGACTTTCGCTTGGGTCATGATCTCACAGTTTGTGGGTTCGAGCCCCACGTCGGGCTCTGTGCTGACTGCCAGCTCAAGAGCCTGGAGCCTATTTCAGAGTCTGTGTCTCCCTCTCTCTCTGACCCTCCCCTGTTCTCTCTCTCTCTCCTAGAAATAAATGAAAACATTAAAAAAAAAAAAGAACTATAAAAAAAAGAATCAGCTGGGCTCAGCCTCGCAAAATCCCAGCTGCCTACACGCTGGTTTCCTGTATGTGCCTACCACGGCCACGACTACGGGAGGGGCAGAGAGACGATACGATACTCTTTTGAAAACCACCAAGTATGGAGTGGGGGGCAATGAAACCTGAATTTTATGATAGCCCTTTGCTGCCCTCAACAGCCTTCTTTCTGGAGACATCTGGGATGAGGCAGGGATTGTACCACTTAGAAGTAGTTTGGACAAAGTGAGGGTTTGCGAAGTCCCAACGATGCAGTTCTGCCAGCCTCATGTGGCCTCTGGGGAATACTGTCAGCAGATGGGGGCAGTTAGTTGGGGTGTGGGTGGAGGCCTCGGTAGGGAGATGGGCCACCAGCTTCAGAGAGCCTTGAACGAGACTGGCCACACTGCTCAGTCTCTGGTTTACCTAGGGGGGTGCCGGAGGAGTCTAATGCTACCTGGTGGTCTGCAAAGCTTCCGGGGAGAGGGATGCCGGGATCTGAAGCCAGCCAGGAAAAGGGCTGAAGAATCACTTGAGGAGTGAATCGGACCATCTTTCATCGCCCTTCCTGTGGTGGGCGTGGTGTGGCTCTGGTGTTGAGGGGCCTCAGGCTGTGCTGGGTCTGGAAACTAACAGGATCTTAGAATCCCTTGCAGAATCTTAGGCCTCCCTCACCTTGGATCTGCTCAATTAGAATCTTCCTTTGTTTTTTTTTTTATTTTATTTTTTTAATTTTTATTTATTTCTAGGAGAGAGAGAGAGAGAGATAGCATGAGCAGGGGAGGGTCAGAGAGAGAGGGAGAGACAGACTCTGAAACAGGCTCCAGGCTCTGAGCTGGCAGTCAGCACAGAGCCCGACGCGGGGCTCGAACCCACGAACCGCGAGATCATGACCTAAGCGAAAGTCGGACGTTTAACCGACTAAGCCACCCAGACGCCCCTAGAATCTTCGTTTTAAGGAGATCCCTGCAGGCTGGAGTTCCCTGGGGGAGCTTTAAAACTTGGAAGGCCTGGGCCTCATCCCCAGAGACTTTGATGCTCTTGGTCTGGGGTGTGGCCTGGGCATGAAGATGGCCCAAGCTTCCCAGGTGGCTCAGATGTGCACTGCTCCAAGGCCTGTGTGTTGAGGATATAGAGGACCTTGCTTGGGCAAGTTTTAATATCTAAGGACTTGTACACACACTTTGCACTCAGCTCTATTTTCCTGTGCAGAGAGGAGAGGCAGGGCTGCGGAAAGCCCCTGTGGGAAGGCAGCCACTGATGCAGGCCATCTGTCCCAGAATCGGGGCAATTTCCTCCCTGGGGGCTGTGCCCAAAGGCTGCCCTGCCTTTAGACAGGCAGTGTGCAGGTGGGCACCCTTGATTTCTGAAGGTGACCGTCCTAAGGAAGGAAGCCATGGATCAGGGTTTGATGACACACGCGTGTGTCGGTCGGCACCACCAAGCCCAGGGATGTTTCTGGAAACCATTTCCAGGCCCAGCTCAGCTTTCCCAGTGGGCCGGGAAGTTCAGACATCCAAGCGGGGGCTATACATTCTTTTCTTATGGTTTCTACACTGTCCCAGGAGGTGACTTCATGAGTGGGAACCGAGGAGACAAAGCCAAACCACTGCCCCAAAGTAACACTAGCACTTTGAAAAATAGTCATTTGATCCTCCCAATATCCGGTGATAGGCATTCTTCTTGTAAGTATCTTAACAGGCAAAGCCCCACTCCCACCCCCACCCGCCCTTCACCCGCCCAAACAAACGGAGGTTAAATCCTGCTCGGGATCAGAGAGCCGGGAAATGGCTAGAATGGGACCTTTGCCAGCAACTCTGGCTCCAAATCCATTTGATGTCATCACTGCCCATGCTTTGCATCAGATGTTTTATTTCTGGGGTGGGGGAGGTGTGGGCAGGAAGGGGACCCGGAACAATGAAATTAGAACTTCATTCATCCCAGGTCCGTTTCACCATCATCATAGGTAACCTTAGGAGGAAACCAACCCGTCTTCAGTAGAGATGCTGGGTATTTGTAAACAAAATTTTTAAGTGTTTGTTTATTTTTGAGAGAGGTAGAATGCAAGCTAGGGGAGGGGCAGAGAGAGAGGGAGACACAGAATCTGAAGTAGGTGCCACACTCTGAGCTGTGAGCACAGAGCCTGGAGCCTGACGCTGGGCTCGAAGTGAAGTCAGACGCTTAACCCACTGAGCCACCCAGGCGCCCGTCTGGGTTATTTCTAAATGGGGTAGAGAGCATGAATCAAAAGGAAGTTCTGGGTGTGGAAAGCCACAAGGTGAGGGGCATCTAACTCCCTTTGGGGAGAGATTCATCAGTTCAAGGCCAAACTGCCTGTAATGTCTTCCCAACCATGCAGATACAGATAACCTCTAAGGGGGAAATCCAAGAGAGGAATGAGGAGGAAGGCTACCATACATATGGAGAACCATCCAGTTGGGTGTCCTTGCCATGGGAAAGAATGAGGCTAGAGCAGAGGGTCCTGTTCATGAAAAGTATAAAAAACCTAGCACCACTGGGATGGCGAGTGTAGATGAGTGTCCCCGAGCACAGATCTATAGATGGGGTCGCCTCAGGAAAGGCTTGGCCAAGTGCCGACCGCACTGGGAAGGTGCTCCAACCAACCAGCCTCACACCCTGGGCCGGACCTCTCTTCCATATGGTTCTTTTCATTGGTCGTATTCTTTGCGAGGTGGTTTTCCTGGATCACAATGATCTGGCTACTTTGTGGAGGAAGGAAGCGGAGGAAGCTTGCTCACTGGGGACGGATGCATTTCCGAAATCTGGTGTTGGGCATTCTCAGGACATGTTAATGCACATCCTCTAAAACCAACACTCCCTACCCCACCTAGTCCGTCAAAGGTTTTGCAAAGCCATGGAGGGAGGAAAACTGGGAGAGCATGGACTCTTACAGCTCTCCTGGCGGGGCATCCTGGGCCTGGAAGCCCTTTAGCTTGGATTCAGACAGATACAAAGGGGAAGAAACCACTACCACCAATCAACTCACCCAATATCATCTTAAATTTAGGTGATGTTCATGCATGCAATCTTGTCTTTCCTTCCTCCCTCCCTTCCTTCTTTTCTTCCTTTCATAGTTTATTTACTTGGAGGGTGGGGATGGGCAGAGAGAGAGGGAGACAGAGTCCCAAGCAGGCTCCACATTGTCAGCGCAGAGCCCGACGCAGGGCTCAGTCTCATGCACGGTGAGATCACGACCTGAGCCACCCAGAGTCAGACGCTTAACTGACTGAGCCACCCAGGCACCCCTCACTCAGTCTTTTGAAAGAATACTCTTAGAAAAGCATACAAATCACGTGTGGTAACCACCATTTACATCCCCCCTTACCTTGTGTCTACAAGGGTCACTCTAGAGAGCAAGTGATTACAATGTTGGGATCTCACACCCAGGCCTTCTTGCCCAGAAAGGCTGGGGTTGGTCATTTCTTTGGTGTTTGTTTGCAGGGCTGGGTGAAAAGCACTTGTGATGAGAACTTGGCTTTTTGCCCATTTCCTTCAAGCTCACATTTGGTTAAGGCATCGGAAGAAACCACCCATCCATCCATCCATCCATTTACTTGAAATTTATTTACTTATTCTGAGAGAGAAAGAGGGAGAGAATGCATGCCCGTGCATGTGCATAAGCGGGGGAGGAGCAGAGGGAGGGAGGGAGAGAGAGAGAGAGAGAGAGAGAGAGAATTCCAAGCAGGCTCCATGTTGTCAGGGCAGAGCCCAACTCAGGGCTCAAACCCACAAACTGTGAGTTCATGACCTGAGCTGAGCTGAAGTCAAGAGTCAGACGCTTAACCGACTGAGCCATCCAGGCACCCCAGGGAGAATCCTTTTAGACAGAAACTCTATTGCACAAAGGACACACAGCCGTGCTACATTTTTAGCCTTTTATTTAAGTAAAGAAATTCCATTGAATCAAAGATAACAAAATTACAGTTTTCGTTTGTAATGATCTTCGTTTACCACCACACAGAATCAAAATAGAGCCCAGAAGAATATGAGAACATAAAATGATCAAGGACACCATTGTTTAGTATAATTTCTTAATAAAGGTAAATATCCTCATATTTAGAAAAAATTGCATTGCTAGTTGCAAATCTTAAACACCTCTGTGCTGGAAGATCCTGTATTTCCCCCCCAAAATCCAGCAGCACGGAGGCTGTCAGAACACAAACTCAAAAACGCATGATTTTCAGGGCAGCATTTTATGTTTCAGAAAATCAAATGAAACGAAATACAAATGAAACAGACACAAATCAGGAATGTGGAAGTGATGGTTCTCAAAAATCAATCTGGAAGCGGATCTGCCAACAGAAGAACGCGGCTGACCGAGTCCCACCGGGAAAAGGAGAGATGGCCCCGGCTCCCCATCCCGCCCCGCCCCCCACCCCTGGTGTTGCTAAGGCAGCTGCATTGGCAGAAGTCAAAAGCTCAGGTACAGTGGAGGTCTTCCTGAGGCAGTGGGGAGAGACCCGGATTGTCTGGAACTGGTGTGGAGAGGCGACAGGATTCTACATGGACTTGTGCTTTAGGAAAACTGAAGAGGCCACAACAAAACAAAAGCCAGACAAAACCTAAGTCCTACGCCCAGGAGGGACCAAGTCCCTGGGAACAGTCTGGGAGAGAAGAGGCTGGCGCGGGGACTGAGGCGGGGGGCGGGCAAGTACTCCCCTCAGTGACTGGGCTGCTCAACGTGGGTGGTCTCAAAGGAGAATGCTCATTGAGATGAAGGTTATTTCTGCTCTAAGCAGACAGTCCCCAACTTATGGCAATAGTAGATTTCTTGGCTAACGGGGACCAGAAGGGAGAGAAGGTAGGTTATAGCTTTTGTTACTGACCGGAGTCAAGGTCAAAGACAGCCCACCGGTTAGAAATGGACTCCAGCTCGTTCACAGAGATACACGGCCCCTTTCCCCACATACGTGCCAGGAAAAACAGTTTGGGGTGGGCTGCGGGGGGGGGGGGCTGACTCTTCCAGAAGGGGCAGCTGTCTACTGTCCGGGGACTGGGAATGGCCGAGTCCGGGGACTGGGACTGCTTCGAAGGCCCCTGGAGGAGGACGCCTGGGCCGTGGCATCCGGGCGTGGCGGCGGCAGCGAGGCAGGTGGAGGGAGCAGCTTTAGTTTCGGCGAGTGGTCCAGCCCCCACTGCCAGCAGGGGCCGGTGCCCATCCCCTCAGCCTCGAGTGCAATTTGGCAAAAGCAATCCTAGTTTATGAAGAAGGGGGTCCTCCCTTCTGCTTAGATAACGGAGGGAGAGAAAACCCTTTCCCTCAACGGCTTGGCCTCCAAACGCCACAGACAGGCCACTTTTCATGGCTTCGCTAAGCATCCAAGTAGTCCCGAGTGGGTTTGAACAACAGAGCGAGGCCGGGAAGGAAGAGGGGCATCAGGGGATGAGACTTGTGGCCAGTCGTGAACCATGCGTGCTGTCGAGGGGAGTGGGGGCGGGGGGCTAGCGTAACAAGGGGCGCACAGGCCGCACGAAGGGATCCTCCAGTTTTGCTGTGGCTTCGCTTCAAACTTCCACGGCAGGAGATTTTAAATCCCAGCGCGCCCTGTTATTAGACTAGCAGGGGACACTCTACCAGGCAAAGTAAGGCCTTCTGGGCACAGAGAGCAAGCCCAGGCGGTGGTGTGAGCGGGGCTGTGGCCAAACGCTTTTTAAGAACTCTCCTGTCCTGCCTTAAGGACGGAGCCCAGAGTTCTCCGGACTCCGCGTGACGTTGTGGGGGGCCTTGAGCTCTACGAATCGATGCCACAGGGAAAGAAAGGCCTCTCACATCTCAGGCATCTGCTTGCCTGGCAAAGAGCAACGAGAACACATGCATTGTTCCCCTGGAGCTGGCGAAAGGGACCTTGAGTCCCATGGTTACAAAGAGAGCTCTCATTCGGATGCCAGGCATACAGGCGCAGCTCCCCAGAAAGCGCAGCTTTAAGGAAGCCTGCAGTTTCAGAACGCAAGCCTGAGCGGGAAGGGTTCCTGCCCTGGGAAACGGGACTACGAATCTCAGTGCTCTGCCCGAGTCACATAGAAAGCTGGGGACATGTGCCTCATTCCAAAGGTCAGCACCCGCCCCATCACAAGACCACCCTCGGGACAGCAAGAATACGGAGATGCCAGCGGAGAGTCTGAAGCGACGCTGGTCAGAGACACGGGGCTGTGGGCAACATCAAGGTCTGCAGCGGCAAAGGCTTAGTGCAGAAGGCTCCCTCCGTCCGAGTCCCCCCACGATGAGCCTGGACACAGCCATTGCAGGGGGGGGTTCCTCTGGCAGATGGTGCGCACACAGGTCAAGGGTCCTAGAGGCGGTCAAGGTGAGGCAGCTGGGGCTCAGAGAGGCGAAGCGGTTGCCCACAATCCGGCCTGAATCAGAGACCATCAGGACAAGAACCCGGGTCTCTTGGACCCTGGTCCCCTACCATGAGGTCAAGAAATTTTGCCTCTTACGATATGTCACAGGGTCCCCTGCAAGTGTAAGGTGCTAAAGAGAGATGAAGATACGGTGACAACAAACCACTTCCTGCTTCCTTTCCGCTCTGGGGTCACTGGTGCAAATCGGCAGCAGGGACGAAGAAGGGCTTTTCCTGAAGTCTGTTAAAGCCCCTGGTCACACGATGTACCAAGGAGACATGACAGCATTTTCCAGACAATCTTTTCAGATAATCTTAATTTGCCCGGGAACAGCTGCTCCCAAGTTGTCCTCTAACCCGTTAAGAGGCCAAGACGACCTCAGAAATGTGGGTGCGTCCCCTCCGTGGCGTTCCCCGTGTCATCCCTGCAATAGAGCTGGCTAGGTCTATGCAAGTTATATCTTTATTCTGATTTTAAGATATAATATTCAAATGCTGTTTGAACGTTCGGCCTTGTTTTAAGCCAACGGGACTGTCACAGCCAGGGGAGCACCCCCATTGTCATCAGCAATGAATGGCTTCAGGGAGACAAGCACAGAAAGCTGGAGGAAGGAAAAAGCTGACCTACATATAAAATGCTGCTCCCTTGTTTATTAGGCAGGTTTGCATCTCTGTAAATTCAATGCCTCTGTGCTCTCATTCAGGGACGAACAAGAATTTTCCTGTAAGACCGCTGCGGTCACATTCTCATTTCCAGGCCCGAGAGCCCGAAGCCTGAACAAAGGGCTTCAGTTGATCTCATGTGAGCCAAAATGGAATGTGAGTGCCATTCAGAGTCACACACATAGAGAGATTTCAGCTGGGGCACGGCCCCCACGGTCCTCGGGGGGTAAATTCCGGTCGCGCGCGACCAAGGCCAGGGCCCAGCCCCTGCCTCAACTTCATTAGGCCCCAGCGACTTCTGAGCCCCCTCGCAGACCGGTGTCTCCTCTCTTCCCGAATGGAGCCGGTACATGGCCGCTGCTTTGTCAGAACAGGTCAAGAGACGCGACCTAAGGCTAAGGCACCTCTTGCTTCCTGGGATGGTGACTCAGCCCCACTTAGTTATTGCTTCGTTTACCTAATTCCACAAAAGGTCTTGCTTGAGAAACGAAGGGAGTAGTGGGAAACAGGACCATGAATCTTGTAAGTTACAGCTGCGTTATCAGGTGGGAGGGGAAGTGACAGAGGGGAGGGGCCGGCTTCCAAATTGAGGGAGTAGACGATAAAGTGCCAGTTGGTGCTAAAAGAACATGAATGAGAAGTGCACTAGAAGAGTAACAGCTGGGGGGGAAGTCACAACGATGAATCTGGGGTGTGTGAGAAATCACAGCGCAGTGTGGAGACCACAGAAATCTCCATCTCTTGAGACAGTGGCTGCTTTTGATGTTATTAATGAGGATGATCTAGTGATTGTCAGAAAACAACTTCAGGTTACAGACGTGACTGTCAAGGCCACTTGGACCGATGCCCAGAAGACATCCACCTGCGACCCTGAGGGGCGTATCTAGGCTCCCTTTACCCCAGAAACATTCACACAGACCCACTGTTTATAATCCTATCTCTCCTGGAGCAAAGGAGATGAAGCAGGGACATTCAAAGCAAAACAAAACAAAACAAAACAAAACAAAACAGTATCCAGACAATTTCACTCTCGGTTCCATTTAGTTCCAGATAGCAACTGCCGATTTTTCAAAGTGCAGGGTTTTTAGATATTCAAGTACCACAGGACTGGAGGAAAGGAGTACTTGAAACGAATAACATTTTCATTTGAAGAGACACACTCTGGAAAGATCTCTCCAACAGACTATAAATATAGGCTATTAAATTAAATATCTGGTTTCAAAATAACAGCCCTTTTGGTTGGAAAGATCTTTCTCCAAACTCAGACCCAGCTTTTGAATTGTTTGGTATCAAAAGCCAGGAGTAGAAAGACTTGGGGTAAAAAAGTAAAATTATAATCGAATGTTGCAAAAAACCCAAAACACCTCTTTATAGGAAAATGAGGGACAGAACAAAAAAAAAAAAGGTGACTGACGACGTCCGTGGGAGGCCTCCCAGACCTCGGCGAGCTGAGTTTGTCATGCATCTTTAGAACCGGCAATGACCTCGGCAATCCACCTGGTCCAAGTCCCCTGCTTTACAGGTGAAGAAACTCAAGTTCAAGGGACTTTTCCAGGGTCATACAGCCAGTGAAAAGCAGAGTGCGGCGGAGCCTGAACTATACTCCCCGCCAGGCCCCCTTCTGAGACGTCACACTGTGATTACACAAGGCAGCTGGCATGGGACAGGCCCCTGGGAGCTAAGAGACACATCTACCTATAAATTTCCGTAAAATGAGCTACCGAGGCGTTTCTAAATTAAAGGCCCTGCAGAACAGTGTTCTCCAAATTTGCCTGGTGGTGAGGATCACCGGGGGCACTTGTCAAAAATTAAAATCTCCAGACCCCTTCCCAGACCCACCTGAGCGGCCTGTCCCAGGGGAGGGACCTGGGAGGCTGAATTTTTACCAAGTGCCCCAGGTAACTCTCATCACCGGCAAAAGCGTGGGAAGACTGTCCTAGAAGATCGTAAGGGAGACTCGAGGGAACTTTCTGGGCCATGTGGGAGGCTAGACTGAAATGCGGGAGGCTCAGGCGCCTGGGCTCCCAGGCCGACCTGCACAGTCGGCATTGGCTTGGGTTGGCGAGCGCTTTTCAGGGTCTACATAAGGACACATACGACCACCGCGAAGGAGCATATACACACTTCACGGCTCTCGGGGACAAGCCTTTTGATTGGCAATGCAAAACTGCTGTTCAGACACATTTTTAATAAGGAAACTAGATGGAATTGGCTTAAAAGCAATCAAATGCCGAGACCGGACGGGAGGGTGAGAATCCTGCCCCTAGTCGCCGTGGAGAAAACCGGTAACTAAGCACAAAAATAGCCTGGCGCTCCCAGGGACTGGCTGCCTGCTCCGGCGCGGGTGCGCCTGGTGGCTGGTCCCCGCCGATGGTGTGAGGTGAGATCCAGATCACTGAGGGAGATGAAGGGGGGGGACCTGACACAGACAGTGACAGACACGGGTGCCAGGAGTGCGCCAGAGTCCGGGAGGCCTCACTCCAGGTCGGCCTCCACCTGCTCCGTGTCAGAGCACTGTGACTTGTTTCGCTCCCACTGGCAGATGGCGTTGGCGTACTCCACCACCAGCTTATCCATCCACGTCAGGGGCTCGGGGAACAGCACAGAACCCTCAAAGAAGCCGAGGTGGCCCCCATGCAGAGGCAGCACAAACATGACGTTCTCCCGTTTCTCTGCGGGGGGGGCTGGGGGGGGAGAGGCAGATGAGTGAGTCACGGTCTGGTGAGCTCCAGGGCAGGACGCGCCAAAGGGAGCCCGCCACGGTGGGCCCGGGCTTTGCCCACGGGTGAAGGTCACCGAGAGGATGTACTTGACTTGTCCTCACTCTGCCTCGTGCACCAGAGTGGGAGGGAGATGAGGTTGGCGGCCGAGGCTGTGGGATCTAGCAGGTACTGCTTTGGGGCAGAATGGACACTGGCTTAAGAAACACTTTGAAATTGGGGCACCTGGGTGGCTCAGTTGGTTAAGCGTCCTACTTTGGCTCAGGTCATGATCTCAAGGTTCGTGGGTTTGAGCCCCGCATCAGACTCTGTGCTGACAGCTCAGAGTCTGGAGCCTGTTTCAGATTCTGTAACTCCCTCTCTCTCTGACCCTCCCCTGCTCACACTGCCTCTCTCTCTCTCTCGTTCTCAGAAATAAATAAAAAACATTAAAAAAAAAAAAGAAACACTTTGAAATCTAAAGGGATCTCAAACTCGGGTGTATGTTAGAATCACCTGGGGTGAGAGAGCGAGTGCACAAGTGCACTGATATCGTTAGAGCTCCCCAGGTGATTCAATTATACGGCCAGATGCTTCCCACGTGCCTCCAAATCACCCGGACGTCACCTTACAATGCACTCTAACATGCCAGGTGGAAAAGCTGACATTCGGCATTTCTAACGAGCTCCGGGGTGATGCCGAAGCTACCGGTGGGGGCCAGGCTTTGAAGGGGTTCACGGCATTGATGCTGTGATTTATTTCAGTGGAGTCAATGTTCTTTCATTACAGACGCTTCTCGTTTAAGACTAAAACAGAACTGGGACGCCTGGGTGGCTCAGTCAGTTAAGCGTCCGACTTCGGCTCAGGTCATGATTTCGGTTTCTGAGTTCCAGCCCCACGTCGGGCCCTGTGCTGACAGCTCGGAGCCTGGAGCTGCTTCAGATTCTGTGTCTCCCTCTCTCTCTGCCCCTCCCCTGCTTGCACCCTGTTTCTGTCACTCAACAATAAATAAATGTTAAGAAAAAAACGGAAGACTAAAACTGAACTCAAAGCTGCGGTTTGTGGTAAAGACGCTAAGCGGCTATGCCGAGCGCTGCCAGCCTGGAGCCTTCAGGACTCCCCGTGGCGGCTGGTCCCGCCTGGGCTTGGAGAGGCCATTACTGAAGATGGGGCAAAACGGGCAGCCATGTGTGGCCAGGACCAAAGAAAAACGTCTGTCTTCCCAGGGGACAGACGGACAGGGCCCAGCGGCTCCAGGCCTCTGAAGCCCCTCCTGGGGTGCACAGCTCTGGCTCTGAGGGCTCTTTTCCCATGTGACCGCCCGCCCTTCTTCGTTTTCAGTTGTTGCTTCATAGATTCTGGGCGGCAGCCTTAGGGCCTCGGGGTTACCCTGGAATCAAGGGAGCGTCGAGCCGCTGAGTGGGTTGCTTCACGCCGTGCCCGGAGCCTGCTACGGTGTGAGTGCAGCTTGAGGACTGGCGGCTTGGTCACCTGACACATCTGCATCACACATGCCACCCACTGCGAGCAGGGCCCTGAGCCCTGGCTGGGCACGGGGCTCCACTGCCGTACTATTTCCTCCTCTAGCCTGGGCTGAGAGCGAGCCAGGCGTGCCCCCGTCCTGCTTAAATAGGATACTTATGAGAGAAACGTGACCACAGAGGGCTACGGACGACGGGGGGAATGGGTCCCAGGGAGTGAAACTGCAGTGCAGGGCGGCCTTGGGATTCCCAGGTGTTTCCTTTTGCTCTTGCACTCGCTTGTTCTCTCTCTCTCTCTCTCTCTCTCTCTCTGCCCCTCTCTGGCATGGGGTGAGACCGATCCGGCCTGAAACACAGCAACATTCCCATGAGCAATGTTCTTTGCTTTTTCAGTTGCTTATATTTTTATCCTCAAAGCAGATGGAGAAGCTGTCAGAAGAGGCGGCAGAGCTGGCTTTTTTGTTCTATTTTTCATGTCAGGTTTTTAAAAAAAATTTTTTTCAATGTTTATATATTTTTGAGAGAGACAGAACATGAGCAGGGGAGTGGCAGAGAGAGAGGGAGAGAGAGAGGGAGGGAGGGGGAGAAGGAGAGAGAGACAGAATCTGAAGCAGGCTCCAGGGTCTGAGCTGTCAGCACACAGCTGGATGTGGGGGTCGAACCCACGAACTGCAAGATCATGACCTGAGTCGGACGCTTAACCAGCTGAACCATCCAGGTGCCCCTCATGTCATGTTTTAAGTTGAAATACCTCTTTAAATCAAACTCTCTGACTTAATGGAGCCATAACTCTGACGCGATAATTTCACAAACCCTGGGGACCTCCCCGAACCCCTCTGGCCCATGGATATAAGTGATGGCCGTCTCTGACATCAGGACAGAACACGAGATGGCTCTGCCCAGGGCCCAGCACAGCCCAGAGCTATCAGGGCAGGCTGGACGAGAACCCTGCCATGGGATGTCCTTCCCCACAGAAGCTGACCCTCAAGAGGTGACAGCAGGGTGGAGGTGACAGAGTTTACGACGGCGACGTGCTGAATGGCCAAGGGAGCGGCAGGAAGGGACACTTACCCGAGAGAGACTTTGGAATGGTTAGGAGGCTTTCATGCACCAAGGGGTCATCAGCTGCGTTAACCAGCATGAGAGGCACATAAATCTGCGACAAGAAAATACAGCAGAAATAAATGATCGATTCCCTTGTTTAAATCCCCGCCCCTGAGTCAAGGCTCAAATTCAACTACTGGACAGGACTCTGAAGCAAAGGGCAGAGGCTCACTGTGATTAAGGCTGCCTGTGTTCCCTGGTGGCATGAATGGTCTCTGGCACGTGTGTGCGGGAGCCAAGCTCCCGGCGTCCTAGGGGCCCGTGTGCTCTGATGGAGCGAGGGTAGGTGTTCAATGGGGCTCAGTGGCAAAATCTTTTCAACGAGTCTCATGGTAATTCTGGTTAGCCCACCTTCTGGACAAGGGACCTTACAGAGGGTTCTGCATGTATGCATTCTGTTTATACTGTGTGGAGGACAAGTGGACTGTGCTCCCCTCCAGACAAGGGAGGTTTTCTAGAGAAGGTGAAAAACGAGAGTAGGCTGTTGAATATTGGGAAGCTCTTAGGGGGGTTGCCTTCAACATCCATTTTAGTAAAACAGCCTTTTTTTAAAAAAATTTTTTAACGTTTATTGATTTTTGAGAGACAGCGTGAACAGGGGAGGGGCAGAGAGAGGGAGACACAGAATCCAAAGCAGGCTCTAGGCTCTGAGCTGTCAGCACAGAGCCCGACGCGGGGCTCGAACCCACAAACCGCGAGATCATGACCTGAGCAGAAGTCGGCCGCTTAACCGACTGAGCTACCCAGGCGCCCCTAAAACAGCCTTTTTCCATTAAGGAGAGATGGGCTGACAGGGGCCCTCAGACGACCGGACAGCTGTGCCCAGGCTGCACAGGACTGGCCGAGCTAACCTGGGGGTTTCGGACATCGGTCTAGACAGCTCAACTAGGTTCTGTAGTGGCCTCAGTGAAGGCGCCCAAAGCCGGGGGGGATGACGCTAAACTGGGAGGGGTGGCCGATATGACAGACAGACGGCAGAAGTGCATTCCCTGTTACCTGCTTCAGCTGGGTGAGTGGTGGGCCAGACCACCCGGGGGACCTTGACTGGGATAAATGGGAAGTCCCGTGTTTGAGTGAAAGGATTATTACACAAAGAACGAGAAGAGACTGGTTTGGTGGTGGTGCAGGTGAAGACACAGGATGCTGATGATCGGCCACAAACTTAGTTCAATCCACACAAAGCTTATGGCAGCTGCCAAAGGCTGCATTCATAGAAACCAGTCTACTGTGCCAACAGACCTCTTCCTCATCGCTCTGAACCAGAAGTACATCTCTTTTCCTCTGGGCTCGCCAGATCATGGCAGGAAGCTGGAGGTTAGTCCTCGCCACCACACCCACAAAATGCACAACGGCCAAAAAAAAAGAGTCCAGAACTGTGAGAAATCTACATGGATCTATGAGGGACCATGGCAGAAGCCAGGCAAGATTACACTGTCACATGAAGACTAAGGAAAAAAAAATGGGTGTTGCATTCATTTTAAGGGCTTTTACACGGACATGGGGGCAGACAGGTCCCGCTCTGGACTTAGGGGCAGCCCTGGGATTAATTTACGGAGGCTGCAGAGCGCCAGAGTTTGGTTCACAAACAAAGCCCAAGTCAGCAGCTACCGGGGGGGGGGGGGCGTCGAGCCCAAGGAAGGTGGGAGCGTGCTCATTGCATGGGGCGTGGCGTTGGAGGAAAGTGACGCTAATTCTGAGACGCTGCTACCTCTGAGTCGGTGGCTGTCACTCACCCTGTGCAGGTACCGCATGCAGCTCTCCTCCTCGTAATACTCCTTCAGGGAGTTATAGCCATGGAACTTCCTGGGAAGAAGACGATGAAGCAACACTGGTCACAGATCGGATGCAGAGTGGGTTTTGTTACTGCTCTGATCCCACGCTGACACGTCACATGGGCATCAGCGTTAAGGGTTAGGTGCTCCGGCTCTGGCATCTGGGTTCAAATCCTGACTCTGCCACTTATGGGCTCTGTGACCTCAGGCAAACGCTTTAGCCTCTCTGAGCTTCTCTGTAAAATGGAGCTAGAGACAGTTCCTTCCCTAATGGCACTGAGATTTATGGCATTAAATAAAGTGCATGCCAGCACAGCAATTCAGTGTTGTCTACAGTATTTATTAGCAGATGTTACGTCCTTTGATTTGGTATAAAACCAGATGTCATCGCAGACGCTAGGAAACTGACATTCAAAGGCATTTATGAGAACTTTGCTTTTCAACAAAATTCTTCCTGGCCAAGTAACCCAGACCCCTGTGAAGTGGAATGAAATATGAAATATGTATCAGGTAACGGGCATGAGACAGAGACTGAGTTACCAATTCCGTCCACCCACAGGGCAGTAGTCAGAAAGTGACATTTAACCACGCCTGTGACGTGCCGGCATGAAAGCCCTATAGGTTCTCTGTGCCCTGTGCTCTGCTCATCCTGGGGCTCTGATACCAATAGGCCGAGTCACCCCCAGGCCAGAAGACCTCTGGAAACCTCTTTCTGACGCACATTAGGGCTGCGGGTATCTGAATGGTGGTTCTGTTCTATTCTGACTGGTGTCTTTAAGGTATCATGCGTCCCCTGAGGCTGTGGCTCTCTCCTCCGCTGCCAGGCCCCAAGGACACCTCTGCCTGGGAAGCCTCCAGAAAGTTCAGGCTGCACTGCCAGGGTCTACTCGACAGGGAGTGGCTGAGTGAGACATCACCTCTGGGACACCCGTCTGCACGAAATCAGTCCCTTTGTGGTCCGAGCGGGCCGGGAAAGCCTTCCAGGCCTGCAGTACTGCTGGCGATGAAAACTGCCATGATCCAACACCATTCAAAAGGAAGAGCTTTGGGGAGAGTTGAACACCATTCTCTCTGGGGCTTAAAATATTCAGACGATGAATGGGGAAATTGAAATGTTGGGATTCTTTGTCATTAGGACCACAGTAAATCGCATTTCCCATCTTAAGGGAGAGTGGGTAGGTAGAATCTTTTCTCAACTTCTGAACATACCGGTGATTTTCTAGATTCTATTTCCTTTGTGTAACTGTTAACAGGCTTATTTCAAGGTTACTTGGTGTAAGAAAGTTACTAAAATCCGGTAAGGAAGATAAGTCCCCTCAGATCATTATCTGCCTATTTTCTGCTGCACGCTAGCTTGCTTTGGATCAAGCATGAAGGTATCAAATAGTCACTAAATAAAAAGGATGCTGTTTTCAAAGAGAACAGTGAGGTCAGAGATCAACGTTGCGTTTTCCAGCTAAGGCTAAGCTCAGCCGGAAACTATGGGTGCTCGGAAAGAGGACACAGTCAGGGTCTCAGCCTCAGGCGCAGGTGCCTGAAGGGGGCAGGGAAGGAAAAAGGAATAAAGTGGGCGGGGTTTGTGTATTACACTCAGGAGAGACTTCACTGCCCCAAAGAAAGAGGCTTTGGTTTCAAGCACAGCCCTCTTCGACTATTTCTTTTTTGTTTTGCTTTTGGTAGAGACCTAGATAAGCACAAGAAATATTTCCTTTTCCTGCAAAAGCAAATTACGTGGCACCTGATCCCTGCCCCAGGGTCAGAGCACGCACGGCAGGTGGCGTAAGGGCTGTGTACAACTAGGGTGTGCACACCCCCACTCCCTGGTTTTCAAGCTCAGTTATGCCGCACAAGAATGCAGAGCGAGTGGTGAGATCCTCTTCTTGTTTTCTAAGAGCTACTAGAACTTTGGATTTTTCTGTGCAATCTTCAGTTTTTATGAAACACTAGACATTTATTCAAAGGGGAAAAAAGTCCTTAACTCTGAAGTGGGCAGAGGAAAGCCCTGGAGCTGTGCAGTGCTGGCCTGCAGCCCCCCACCTGGTGCCCCGGGCCTCCCACGCGTGGACACACCTCATCACGTTGTCGTCGATCTGCATCAGGGATGTGGCTGTGTAGAGGCGGCTCAGGTCCGTGTCCTCCAGGCTCTGGGGTTTCCTAACATGGTCTCCGAAAAGAGCTTGCCTAGAATGAGACACAACGGCAAACAGAACAAAAAGTAGATGATGAACCAAATCATTGTGTCGTACACTTGAAACACCTTACAATTTTATTTTTCAGCTCAATAAAGCTGAAAAAACATTTAAAGGGCAGATGATAACCGAGATCAGAGCCTGCTTCCCGGCCCAGGGGGGAAGCCAAGAGAGAGTCTCTGACGAGGGATATGGGAAAGTCAGAGAGATCCGGTCAGCCCTCAGAGTGTCCCAGAGGCTGAGCTCGCAATGTTGACTTTTGAGTTAACTGCAGGAAAATGATTGTCGAGGTCTTATTTTCTTTTTCAGGGGCAGCTAGACAAACTAAAGATGGGGTCTGAGCCCAGGTGAGTGTCACCCTTGAACAATGCGGGGGTAGGGGCCGCAGCTTCCAGCGCAGTCAGAAATCTACATAGAACTTCTGACTCCCTGGAAACTTAACTATTAATAGCTTACTGTTGACCCGACACCTTGCCAAGAGCATAGATAACACACAAAATAACACATATTTCGTATGTTACATGTATTATATACTGTATTCCTACAATACTGTAAGCTAGGGAAAAGAAATGCTAAAATCATAAGGAAGAGGAAACACATTTACAGTACTGGACTAAAAAAATCCACAAGGAACACCTGGGTGGCTCAGTCGATTGAGCATCGAACTTCATCTCAGGTCATGATCTCATGGTTTGTGAGTTCAAGCCCCACATGGGGCTTGCTGCCATCAGTGCTGTCCCTCCCTTGCTTGCACTCTCTCATAAATAAATAAATATTTTTTAAAAATAAATTAAAAGTCCACATATAGGTGGACCTGTGCAATTCACACCCAAATTGTTCAAGGGTCAACTGTTACCACAAATCCTTCACAGCGGGGAGGGGTGTCTTTGGAAGGGCTCTATGGTGAGTGGTGGGTGGTCAGCCAAACAGTGTGTGTGTGTGGGGGTTATCTTTACACTGTGACATCACCCGTTCCTCTTTAGGAGATGTTTCAGTCACTTAACAAGGAAGACACTGCCAAACCCATTTAGCATTTAGCATGGGGGCAAATCAATGGCTCTCCAACAAGTTAGCTAAAAAGCTTACGTAAATGCTTAGAATAATCATGTCTGTTAAGAACAAGATTCATCTTGAGAGGATGATAATAAAGGTAGAGATCAAAACATGCACACTTAGACCTTCTGCTCCTCCACAGTCTCTGGCACCCAGTGCAAGGAGGGCTGAGTCTGTGGTCTGGCCCTCCAGTGAGGAAGGTCATGACGGTTTTGGTGTCTTCTCGCCACCCCTCTCAAAGAGGAACACATTTCTTTAACGCTTTTTCCCCCAAAAAGATTATGAGGAAGACTGTATACCTACAGTCTAGAATTCACAACTTATTATTATTTAACGTTTTTTTGAAAGACAGAGAGAGACAGGGCATAAGTTGGGGAGAGAGAGAGAGGGAGACACAGAATCCAAAGCAGGCTCCAGGCTCTGAGTTGTCAGCACAGAGCCCGACATGGGGCTGGAGCCCACAAACCGTGAGATCATGACCTGAGTCGAAGTTGGACGCTTAACCTACTGAGCCACCCAGGCGCCCCTAGAACTCACAATTTAAAGGGCCCCTAAAATTTCTAAATGTTTGGCTTCCTGTAGTAAATTTTAAAAAACATAAGTTCACCTAGAGGATAAAGGACTCTCAGTTTCTTAAGAACCACATGAGGGACCTTCTGGACTAATTAGTTAGTGGCAAGACTGGGTCCTGTGGCCAAACGAACGTTTCATGGGAAGAGTCCCTTCCTCATCCAGAGGTGTGGGAAGGCAGACAGAGGACCTGCGTTTGGGTGTCAGAGGCTTGGCTTTGCCCCTTCTGGAATGTCAGCAAATCCCCAGGCCCACCTGAACCTCAGCTGAACTACAGCTGAGACTCAGACATCAGGAGCCAAGTGAAAACAGTCGACATCCAGTCAGTCCAGGGGACAGAAGTCTCCTTCTGTACCTCCACGCACCCATCACAAGGGCCAGCGGCTGGGCAGCCTGAGGGGCCTGGGAGCACCAGCCTTGCCGGGGCCCCATGTGGACCCCACCCACAGGGAGCCCGATCTGGGGGGCTTGGCTGGGTCGGGCAGTACCGTACTTTCTTTCACCCCTGACATCAGTGAATCAGTCGGATCACCGTTCCCGGGATGGCATCAAAACCCCTCTAAAATTGTTCCGCTTGAGTGCCTGTGATGTGCCAGGCTCTGGGGGGGATCAAAACCAGCCCAGGCCATCTGGCGCTTTACAGCTTAGTTCAAGACACAGGATTCACACGGGGAAGCAACTGAAAAACAACTCAGGGCTGAAGGAGTTGGCTTCACAGAGAAGAACTGAGATGGACGTATAGGATGGGCAGACGTGACGGGAAGGACATTCTGGGTGAGGCCCTGGTGGTGTGGGAGAGACCAGCGGCCGGGAGCCTCCCAGTGGCCCTGTCCAGCTGGAGGGAAGGCAGGTGCAGGGGAGGGGGGTGTGGGTATGAACACTCACGACCACACAGCCGGCTGGCACACTTCCTGACCTCTCCCGCATGCAGGGCACTGCTCTGAGCGTGGTCAGGGGCTGCCCTGTGAGCAGGGGCACGACCAGCATGGGGGCCACGAGGAGGCGGCACAAGAGCAGCCTAAGGAGAGAGGGCCCCAGACCATGACAGGCCCCCCTCCAGGATCGCTCTGATGGGGACAGAATGGTGTTGAATGGCTCCTCGTCTTGGGGGCGTGGGGAATCCTGAAGGCGGAAAGCGAGTTGGCGGAGGTGGTAGCTCGGGACCAGGTGGCTCCTAAGCAAGTCCCACAGCAGTCGGCAGAGAGCCCGCAGCAGCCCTGCCGTCATTTTCCTGGAGAAACACGAGTTCCAGCTTCTCTGACTGGGAAGTAAGCTCAGAAAGGGACAGTTTCCCCAGAAGGAACGGAAGGCGACGCACCTGTGTGAGAGGATGATCTTCTTCATGTTGTCGGCCATGAGGAAGTTGTAGAAGCGCCGGCACTGGTCCCACTGCATGAAGGTCTCCTGGGCCCTGGAAGAGCCGCGGGGGGAGTGAGAGACTGCGCCCTGGAGGGACCCGCTGCGGGGACGCGCTACGGGGACACACTACGGGGACACGCTGCAGGGACCCGCTACGGGGACGCGCTGCAGGGACGCGCTGCAGGGACCCGCTACGGGGACGCGCTGCTGGGACCCGCTACGGGGACGCGCTGCACGGACGCGCTACAGGGACCCGCTGCAGGGACGCGCTGCGGGGACGCGCTGCACGGACGCGCTACAGGGACCCGCTGCAGGGACGCGCTGCGGGGACGCGCTGCACGGACGCGCTACAGGGACCCGCTGCAGGGACGCGCTGCGGGGACGCGCTGCACGGACGCGCTACAGGGACCCGCTGCAGGGACGCGCTATGGGGACACGCTACAGTGACACACTACGGGGACGCGCTGCAGGGACCCGCTACGGGGACCCGCTGCGGGGACGCGCTACGGGGACGCGCTGCGGGGACGCGCTGCGGGGACGCGCTGCAGGGACGCGCTGCAGGGACCCGCTACGGGGACGCGCTACGGTGACACACTACGGGGACGCGCTGCAGGGACCCGCTACGGGGACGCGCTGCGGGGACCCGCTACGGGGACGCGCTGCGGGGACGCGCTACAGGGACGCGCTTCAGGGACGCGCTATAGGACGCCCTGGAGGGACGCGCTGGTACCCAGAGAAGGGGCTCACGGCACCTGCCCCTGGAGGAGGCGGCACTGGCTCCCGCCCCAGGACCTGGGTCTTCGCAGGGTGGACTCGAGCTCTCGGGAACTGCACAGCCGCGGTGCTGAACGCGAGGCCCCAGCGAGGAAGCTGTCTGGGGGCACAGTCCCGACACCCTCTGGCAGCGCAGGGGCCTTGCCTTCGTCACAGACCTGGCCAGCAATGGCCTGTGAACACCTCTAGTCGGCTTCCTACCTCCCAAGACGGTTTCTCGGGCTGAGTGAAGGGGTGGAAGGGGAGGGTGGGTGTGGAGGGGCAGTGCGGGGGCCGGGGTGGGGGACACCTCAGAGAACTTTGGCTGCTGTCTGAGAGGCAATGGGAAATCCTACAATGTGGGCTTTCTCTTCACTAGCCTAGGAACGGTTAAGGGGCCAGGAAACGGAAGGAGAAGAGAGGCAATCCGCCCTCTCTGGGCTCCACTGTGGGGCTGGGTCTGAAGTCTTTTTGCCCCTCGAGCTACTGCGCGCAGCCAGCAGGACTGGGTCTGCCTGACATCTGACATGAGGGTCACCACCTGAGCCCCTGGCGGTAACGGGCAGGTGGTGTTATCCGCACTCTAGATTAGGAGACCGCCACACACTCAGAAGGGTCAACAGAAGGTGTACCTGTTCGGCACAGTTCCTTGGCCACAGGAATGGCAAGCAAACACCAATGTGCCAATTCCCGCTGCCTGGCACGCCCCCTCCCCGCTCCGTGCCCTCGTCCCTGGGTGTGACCCCAAGCCCCATGGAGTCCGTGCTGACCCCCACCTTGCAGACATCTGAGTCTGAGGGCTGCTTCCACCTTGGGGGGGAACCGGGTGTCACCATTCCCACATGGGGTCCATCGGTTTCCTATCCCAGATGGCCTAAGAGGGGACCGGGTGGTTCACAGGTAATTTTTTCAATGCAAGGAGTTTATAAAAGTTATTTCCCCAAGGCTGCCACCCTTCAACTTTGGAATGGCAAACATTTCCCATAATACTGTGGTTAAAAAAGAAGAGGTAGTGGGAAGTTAAAAGTGAAAGGGTTTGTGGCTTTAATGGTCTGTGACATGCTCATAAAACGTGGGGTAAAGCTGGAAGGGAAAGCTACTGCTACCTTCAGAGGTCCAAAGGCCATTCTATAAATGTACGGGACAGGGGGGAGGGCTCCCCCAAAGCTGCAGAAACAGAAAGGATGGGCCAAGTCACCGTGGGTGGGACCCAGACTAAGGCAGGCACCTTCCCCTTGGTCTGAGGGAGGAGGGAGGGGGGAAGAGGTTCAATCCATGATCATGCTACTGTGGTTATGTAAGGAAAAGTCCTTAGAGTCTTTCAGTGCAAACTAGTAAAGTATCTTCAGATGAAATGATATGATGCCTGGGATTTGCTTTAAAACAACCCAGTTTCCGGGGGAGCGGGGTGTGCCTGAGGGGTTGGGACAACAGAATGCCCAGAAGCTAGGCATCACTTAGGTGAGTGATGGGCACCTGGGGATCCAATGTCCTACTCTTTTTATATGTGCCTAATATTTGCCATAATAATGAAAGAGGAAGAAGAAATAGAAAGAAAATAGAAAATCATTTTAGATTATGAGCTACTGAAAATTACTTGCCCTGCTGCGGAGTTCAAAATTCAAAGAGATACAGAGAAAAGTCAAAGTTAGTCTTAGCTGAGTAACTGTGAGCCTCAACAGTCATTTTCAGGGATGGCAAAGAGACTGGCGGGTTACGTGGAACCGTAATGCAGCTCCCATCGTGGCTGGACTCCCATTTTGCTGCCCTGTTTCTGCGGCGAGAGGAGGCAGGAACAGGCTGGTGCGGCAGATGGGCCTGGGGCCTTGGGGAGGGCAGTGGGATCAAGGTCTCACAAGGAAGCCGTCCAGGTCACCCGGTGGTGAGAGCCAGAGCCGGGACCTGAATATGGCCCATCCGAACCCACCACCTAGTTCACCAGGCTCTGCAAGACCCACTTCACCTCGCCAAGCTTCATCTGACAAAGCAGGGGGCTGAATGAGAGCATCCATTTCACACCGATGGCTCTATGGCTGAGGTATCTCGACAGCTGTATCACAGGCCTGACAGAGGTCACCCTGGGGGATCTTCGTGGTGTTTCACTGCTTCTGTCAATGGTGGATGTGGCGAGTGGAGAGCTGGCTGCTGATAGTGGTAGGGGTCTGGATTCTGGCCCCGGCTGAGGAGACCTGGGGGGGTGGGTGGGCTCCTGAGAAAGAGGCAGCGCGTGTCTCCTAAGGACGGGACAGACATCTGCCTGGAAACGGCGGCGAATCAATCAGGAGCGAGAGAACACTGTGCCGAAACCCCGACAACATGGCGCACTGACTGCCAGCAAGTGGGAAAGGAGAGGGAAGGAGAGGCCGTTACGGTCTCGGGTAGCAACGGGGGTAGGACACACACATGGTGAACGAAACTCAGAGGAGAGCGAGCAAGATCTCCCAGGCATCAGCAGGACTTGCTAACATGGCACCAGCACTGGAAGGACCCTGTGGAGGACCCTGGGGGTCTAGGAGGGAAACTTCCAGCAAGAGAAGCGGAAAAGTGCTCTCTGGCAAGGAAACACATTCCTGTGTTGAGCCCAAGGTCCAAGGTGGAAAAACATGAACAGAACATCTGGGTGAGATCTGGAAGATGCTGTTTAAAGCAAGCCACAAATTGGGCACCAAAGACAGGGGACCTCGGCTCTTTGGACAGTGAATGAATCCCTTGACGTGGCCAAACAGCAGAGCCTCTGTCTTCTTCTTCTTCTTCCTTTAAATATTTATTTTTAAGAGAGAGAGAGAGAGAGAGAGAGAGAGAGAATCTCAAGCAGGTTGCACGCTGTCAGCGCAATGCAGCCCTGATGCAGGGCTTGAACCCATGAACCAAAGATCATGACCTGAGCTGAAATCAAGAGCTGGGCACTCAACGCACTGAACGCACTGAGCCACCCACGCGCCCCTCCTCACTACTTTTTTTTTTTTTTTAATTTTTTTTTATGTTTTATTTATTTCTAGGAGAGAGAGACAGCGTGAGCAGGGGAGGGTCAGAGAGAGAGGGAGTCACAGACCGAAAGAGGCTCCAGGCTCTGAGCTGGCAGTCAGCACAGAGCCCGACGCGGGGCTCGAACCCACAAACCACGAGATCATGACCTAAGCGAAAGTCGGACGCTTAACCGACTAAGCCACCCAGGCGCCCCCCTCCTCACTACTTTTAAAGTTTTTGTATTTATTTGGGGAGAGAGAGAGAGAGAGTGGGGGAGAGGTGGGGAGAGGCAGGGAGGGAGGAAGGGAGAGAATCCCAAGCAGGCTCCACACTGTCCGCACAGAGCCTGATGTATCCTCACTACTTTGAACAGACACATTCTTTTATGTTACACGTTTTCTTGATTTCTAAACACAAAACCTTCCTTGTTTTCCACTGTGACTTGTGGATAGTGGTTTATGCCTGTCTCTCTTGCTGGACAGGCGCCAGTTATCTCTAGCTTGGCCCCTACGAGAGAGTCGTACTGAAACAAGACGAAGACCAGCCCTGAACAGCGTGGCCTCTGGGACGGTGGAGGCTCTGGACCCCAGAGACCCCGGCAAGAGGGCTCCTGGCTGGCAGCTGGTTCAGGGGCAGAGCTGACCTGCAGAGAGGGCATCGCCTCCAGCTAGTTCAGCTTGAGAGTGGGAGCGAAAGAAAACCATGTCTGTAATCCTTCATTCCAGCCAGCGGGGCTTTGGCGCGGGATGGGGCATGGAGCTCAGACAAGGGTATGGACGGCCACCCACCAATCCCCCCTCTGCCTCATTGGGATATTTCCCCTTAGGATGTCCTTCTGTAGGAGTGGGATTACTAAGTGAAAAGGCCTGACACCCTCATCTTTCTTAGAGGAAAGAATGACCAATACAGAATAAACAAATGTCCCTAAGACGCCAAGGGCAAGCTTGGTCCGCTTCACACCCCAGCGGTGGAAAAGCCGAGCATTCTTCTAGGTTGGAGTTCTGCCCACAGAGTTTTGTCTACACTTGGCAGATTTTCCCCGTTTGCTTGGCTCTGGTACAAAATTACTGATTGTTAAAACTGGTGTATAGTTCCTGCCTTATAAACACAGATCTGACGAAGGGACACGTCTATAGAGGGACTTGATGGATGATGGCCCTTGCTTTTGTCACAAACGGAGCCACAGGCTAGAATCTGCCCATTGAGAGCACACGAGAGACTATACACACCATTGGCTGAAGAGCGGCACCCGGTCTTCTCCGCGGCCGGGAAGCCTGCTAAAAACACGGAGCGGCACTCAGAGGCTCCCTCAGCCAGGAGCCTGACGACACTTACGGAGATCTGGGAACTTGTCTATTGTCCCTTAAGGGGCCCCTGCCCTTGCCTAGACACTGTGCCTACCTTCACCTCACCTACCCTCACCTCCTTCCAAAAGCCCTCCCCATGGGCCTCCCCACTTGACCGGAGACTTCCTCGGCACCCAGATGCCTAGCGTGGAATCTTCTAGTGACACGTCTTTGTTGGTTTGCTGCTTTGGAAACATCCTTCTCTCGTCGTGAACTGCTGGGAGGTCCTCAGACTCAGGCTCTCTCGACCTCTAACTGCACGGACACGCTTGGATTTTAATCATATGATTATTGGCAGATTCCGCAATGCAAGACTGTTAAGGGCTCCCTCAGGAATGAAGACTTGATTTGACCTAAAACTGGTCCAAAGAAAAGCGTCCCTCCCCTTTTCTTTATGCTCCACGGGGCAGGGAATTGTCCTGCCTTGTTCATGGCTGTGTCCCTGTTACCTAGAAGGGTGTCCTAGCTGAATGACCCCAATGGATCAAGGGATGAATCGATCTGCAGGTAACCTTCTGGCATTGCTAGTCTCCCTCTCACACTCCTGGCCGGTCACCACTCACTGCATGAATTTAGAATCAAGAGTCTTCACAGGAAAGTTTCAAATGGTTAATTCAACCAGTCACACTGAGTCTGACCACACACGTTTCCAGGATTGGCTGGCGGCTGTTTGTGCTGAAGGAACTATGTTAAGTTTGCTAGATAGCGGGCGATTTCGGGGTCTTGTGCTCTCCTTCCGGGTGGTTCTGCACATCATCCGTGAGCTTCTCTAGCAGCAGCTAGGCTCTGCTAACTACGCCAAGCGGGCATGGCTGCTGGGCCTTGGGCGGGCTCTGGCTACAGGGGTGGTGTGCTACTGGGGTGAGAAGCCAGCGGGGGCGGGTGGGGGGGCGTCACTGACAAGCGGTTCTCCAGACTCAACTAGGGGAGATTTACCAGCAGCATAGACTCCCGTGTGGCCCCTGCAGAGGCAGACGAGCCCTCCCTGCTCCACCTCGGCGTAAAGGAAACATGGCTGCCTTCGTCCCAGTGCTGAAAAGGCTCATCGCCCTCAAGCCTTGGCAGGAAAAAAAGGGGACAGTGGTTTAAAGGAAGGCACAGTCCTTTGGGGGAGTAGATCTCCTTACAATGTTGAGGGCACCCGAGGCCTGGGCAGCGCCCGCACACACAGGGCGATGGTGTCTCCCTGACCTGCCACCACTTCGAGTGTGTGCGCAGGGCCACACGATGGCAGCCCCCGCGTGGGTTCTCTGTGCTCCGGAGTAAAGTTACCTCTTTCTCTCCTTATTGTACGAGACTGATGTGATAGTGAGTAAGTATGAAGATCTCTGAGGTCTCAAAGGAAGGTGGCGTAGACTGTCTGCAAAATGGACGGCACCTCGGCACCTCGCAGAGCCTAAACTTAGCAGATTTTGTTAAGTTCCTTTCGCTTTAGCAAACTCCTTAGTTCACCAAAGGCGTGGCTCATATGCTCTTGCCAACAGCAGATGGCGCTACTGCAGCAAAATGAATAGAAGCTGATGCCGCTGAAGATGTGTGTCTTGGGGGGGAGAAAAAGGAAACAAACTTGCCCTACGTGGTCCCACTTATCAAATGCTGTCCACGCTCGCAGCACTGGTGTAGGAAGGGGCTCTGGTGATTCCAATCTTACAGGGGATAGAAGGCTTGCTGAAAACTGGGCCCTTTGTCAGGCGAGAGCAGGCAGGGTCTTCATGCCAGGACCTGCTCCCTGGAATGTTCTGGTAGGGACCATGCCATCCCAGCGACTGGGCAGGGTGGGACTCTGGTTAACTCCCGTTAACGGCCATGAATTGGGAACTGGGCATTTCTAGCCAAGATAAAAGGGTGTGTCCTTCAGCGGGCTCTCCAGAGCACAAAGAGTAGTGAATAGGAGAATTCCCGTAAGGGGCCTAACTTGGCCTTTGACACTAGAGCTGGAGGGGCCTCAGGTCCCCGGGCCCAATGGCCGCTAAGTATCAGAAGTCACTCGTGGAATGTGTGCAAATGCAGATTCCTTGGCCTCACGCCCCAGATTCCAGAGCCCAAGTCTCCAGGGCTGGGGCCCAAGAAACCAGATTTATTTCTAACATGGTCCGCCAAGGGATTCTGACTGCAGTGAAGCCGGCACCACTTCACCAGACTGCTCTTTGTGACCCACTGGCCGCACCTTCTGTCTCACAGTGAATGATGGTCATTACCAGTCACTGACGGACTCTGCACGTCTGCCCTGCACATGTGTGCGCTCCCTCGACACTCACAGCGTCATTACGAGGCAGGTACTATTTATTATTATTGTCTCCCCATCGTGCAGGCGAGGAAAGCTGGAACCCAGGCCTCGGGCCTAGAACTCAGGAAGGGAGTCCCTCAGGGATGTTTTTTCAAGTCTTCTTTTGGGCCCTTTTAAATCTTCCCTTTTGGCCAGCTTTACGCTTCACGGGCGGAAGCTGAATTCGGGGCTTGCATTTGCCCTTTGGATGTGCTGGCTTCAAATTCCAGTTAATACCTATTTTTGGAGATAACAGACAGCCTCTCCCCATCAGCAAACGCTGAAACAGGTTTAAACTGCAGTGCGAGAGATACAGGGGAGGCAAGAAGGAAGGAATCGTTTCTTAACTCTAAGGACTGGCTGGCCTTACGTTGGATCAATGAGGGAGATTTTTTTCACTTTCTTGTGCGATACTGTATTTCTTCAAGAGACCTTTAGTAAATCGGTCAGACCCACGTGTAATACAAAAGCCATTATCGTGAAGAGTGAGTACTGGAAAAGTGTGAACGCGTTTGAAGAGTCTGGAGAGGGGGGCGAAGAATGAATGACGGTGTGTGCGCGTGTGCACATGTGTGGTGACTCTCGAGAGATCTGGGGCAACAATGATGTCGAGGGGGAGTGAGAGCAGAGGATAAAGCCCTTCTAGGACCCCCTCCTGCGCAGGGTTCCGTAGGCAGGAGACTAAGGGGTCAGATAAACCTTTCTCTAGAGGGTCGTCTTCCTCATGGTATGTCCAGGATGTTGCACGCAGTCTAATATTTGAAGGTGAGGGCACAGGTTCAACGGTTTCTACACACCCCTTCCCCATGCCTCCTGAGACCCAACTCCTATGTGGGCAGGAGGGGTCTGGGGTCGTCAGGCCCAGCGCCCAGATCCTGGGTTGCCAATCTCGTGTGTTCTTTCGTAAACCCACTGTTCTTAGTAAATTCCTGGAGCACGAGCAGATACAATCAGCTCACGGAGACCCCGCGGGGGAACCGGACCTTATTCAGTTATAGCTCTGACCCCCCAATACAGCTGCGGATCGGGTTAAGGGGCCTGGTAAGACAACATCCGTGTACGACGTGGAAGCAAACCGAGGTGCCTCCAAGCCCCAGACACCTCTGCACTTCCTCTGGTTTTCCCAGACCAGCACTGGAGCACTGACTGGGGCACCTCGACTGGCGGGGCGCAAACGGAAGGCCCCGGTGGAAGAGAGAGGTGGGCGCGGGCGGTGGCCGCCACTCACCTCAGCGCGCTGTAGCCCTGGCACACGCTGACGCAGCATAGGACCTTCTCTTGGTTCGCCTGAGTCTCCCCCAGGTACTTGCACACGATGTTCCCGCCCAGGCTAAAGCCCACAACGACCAGCTGGGTCTGGGGGTAGGTCTTCTTGATGTAGTTCACCATGGCTCCAAATTCCCAGGTGCAGCCTAAGGGCAGAGAGGTAAGGCCACTCCGTCATTTTGGGCGCAACGAAGACTGGAGAAAACGTGTTACTAAATAGTAAGAGAGAGGGGTGTGTCTGTGTGTGTGGAGAGAGATAAGGGGAGGGAGAGGGAGAGAGAGAGGGAGGGAGAGGGAGACAGATATACAGACAGACAATTCTCTTGGGCTACCTGGAGAGAAGTTTCCAGATGCTCCTCTGTAGAGGAGGAGACATGGCCTTAGTAGTGCCTGTACGAGAGGTACCATGTATCAAACAGGTGTGCAATGCTCTTTGAAGGTGGGCTGTGGAAAAACCTACCAGATGCACACGGAAATCAAAACAGATATTCGTGGGACACCTGGGCGGCTCAGTCAGTTGAGCGTCTGACTCTTGATTTCAGCTCAGGTCTGGATCCCAGGGCCGCGGGGCCAAGCCCGGGGTCAGGGTCCATGTTCAGCGTGGAGCCCGGGGTCAGGGTCCATGCTCAGCGTGGAGCCTGCTTAAGATTCTCTCTCCCTCTCCCTCTGCCCCTCCACCACTCGCACGCTCTCTCTATCAAAAATAGAAACAAATAATAAGTAAATAAATAAACACATAAATAAAGCTGATACTCAGGGTGTGCGTGAGCACGCTTGTCCGCACACAAAAGCAGGAGCAAAACCCTTCGGGATTAGCTTCTCAGGCTCCAAAACAGGATTCTATCCCCTAGTGTACAATGACTCATGTTGTTCAGAAAAGTACCAAGTGGATGTTATTACAGGATCTTCTTGTCAGCGTGGGGGAAGGAAGGAAAGACAAACTTCAGCCCCGAGGGATGGCCAGGAAGTCCTACTGGATTAGAATAAAATGTTTTTGGTGACGTGAGGACAGAGTGCCAAGGGACGCAAACGCGCTCAGAAGGGCACGGAGATCTCTGCACGGAGAGGGCCTTGTCTGCCCAGGAGGGACCGTCTCAGGTGGCCCCAGGGGGAAGCCCTCGAAGCCGTGTGCAGCAGCTTTGCTAAGAGGAGGAGGTCAGCGCCCGATGCGGGTGAAGGGGTTTGTCACATCCTTCCAAGACCCAGCCCCAGGCTCTTCAGGGACCCGACTTAAAGCAAAACCTAACAGGGAGAGTGAGGGCTGTTGGCAAGATGCGTGCACACGACACACCGGCGTGACAAGACCCACGGGGCGCCTGGGGGGCACCGTCGCTTAAACGTCCGACTCTTGGTTTTGGCTCAGGTCATGATCTCACGGTTTGTGAGTTCCAGCCCCACTCTGGACTCTGTGCTGATAGTGCAGAGCCTGCTTGGGACTCTCTCTCCCCCTCTCTCTCTGCCCCTCCCCTCCTCACTTGTGTTCTGTCTCAGAATAAATAAATAGACTTAAAAAAATTTATAGTGGGGGGCACGTAGGTGGCTCAGTCAGTTGAGTGGCCGACATCGGCTCAGGTCATGATCTTACGGTTGTGGGTTCGAGCCCTGCGTTGGGCTCTGTGCTGACAGCTTGGAGCCTAGAGCCTGCTTTGGATTCTTTGCCTTCCTCTCTCTGCCCCTCCCCTGCTCGTGCAAAAAATAAATAAATGTAAAAAAATATATATATGTACATATACATAGTGGAAACATGAGCTGCTGACCTTGGCATCAGCTCAGAGTTTTTGACAGCCCTAAGTGAGAGCTCAACAGTTTCTTCCCTGACCAGCAAGCTGTGGGGGAGGCTGGCGTCCGAGTCTGGGACAAGCGTTTCTTACAGCATCTTCTGACAGAGGATGCAGCCCAGGCCAGGCCAGCACAGCCCGCGCAGAGCTCAAACTACAGCGTGTATACAATCGCCTGGAGAGAGAGGATGTTGGGAAGGGGCATCCCTGGGCCTCACCCCCAGAGAAGCTGACTCAGCAAAGCTGACTCCTGGGGGTCAGGCCCAGGGACCTGCATTAAACATTTTTTGGAACAGATAAAACCTGCGCACAGCACAAAATTTAAGTAACATTAGAGATAGGGCAACAGGTCATTTCTTACATTCTTTTTAAAAATATCAGTGGTGACATACACATTATTTGGTATCTTGTTTGTTTTTCTTTTTTTTTAAAGCAATACGTCTTGGGATCCATGTGTAACAGTATATAGAAAGCTGCCCTATTTTTTTTTTTTTTAAGGTAATCTTTACACCCAGCGTGGGGCTCAAACTCACAACCCCAAGATCAAGAGTCACACACTCCACGGCTGAGCCAGCCAGGCGCCCCTGCCCTATTCTTTGTTATTTTTATTGAATGAGGCATAAAATAATACTCAGGAAAGTGCACAATGAATTCATACATGCTTACACCCATGTAAACAGTGCCCAAACCATTTCAACCATTGTTTAAATTACTTTCAGCAAGTAATTGTAACTTACGGCTTGAAAAGGCCGTAATCTAGATTTCTAGATTTTTCTCCAAAGCATCGATCTGATGGCACACTAGAATCCCTGGGGATCTTGTAAAATACCACCAATGCCTGAGTCCTCCCCATACTAATTAAATCAGAATATCTGGGGGCGGGACCCAGGCCTGGGAGGTCACCTTCAAGGTCTCTAGATGCTTCCAAAGTGCAGCTGGGGCTGAGAACCACTGATGTAAGGGACACTGATGTGGCTCAAATACGGGAAAGCAGATTTTGAAGCACACTCTCGCTCTTGTCTCTGGGCCATCCCTTTTCAGACTTTCCCTTCCACGTGCAGGAAGCAACCTTCACATGTGGAGGCATTGCTCTGCCTTTTGGAAGCTTCTGGAAGCAGGGCTGTTGGCCCGGTAGCAGCTTTTTGCGTATCTCCTCAAAGCCGGTTTCTACAGGGGGCGAGTCTCTGCTCCACCCCGCCAGGCACCCCTCTAGGTCCTGCAAATGCCAGTCTTTAAAGCACAAATCAAGTGCTTTCTGGTAATCTTGTGAAGAATGAACCAGGAAAGCAGCATCAAGGTGAAATGACGGTAAGGATTAAGTGCCAGCAGTAGCCCAGTGGTTCTCAAAGTGTGGTCCCCAGGCCAGCGGCATCGGCGCTGTTCCAAATGCACGTTCCTGCGTCACACAGCACCTGCTCAATCAGAAGCGCTAAGGTTGGGGCCTCGACACAGGTTCAAACACAGGTTGCTGAGCCCGACTTCAGAATTTCTAAGAATGTGCATTTCTAACAAGTTCCCAGGCGATGCTGTTGCTTCTGGTCCAGGGGCCACACTTTGAGAACCACAAAAGGTGGAGGAAGTCTTTCACTCTCTGTTTCTTTTGTCTTTTAAAAGGGCAGTTCGAAAAGATGCTCCCTGTCACTCAGACATAAATAAATGCAAATTATAAAGGTAATCAAGGAATCATTTCCACCACCCACACTAGAGAAGGTTAACGATACCCAAGATCAGAGTCAGCGTGGGTAACATCTATTAGTGTTTGTTCAAGTATAAATATCTGGCCCAGCAATTCCATCTTTGGGGGCTTTTGTACTGTATGTGTGCAAAGATGTATGCACACGTGTGCAACTGTATATGAGCAATAATGGTCTTGCAGTACTGCTCGTGGCAGCAAAGGAGTGGAATCCAGCCAAGTAACAAACCTAGTGAAAATAAAAATGTTTAAAAAATATTTAAATCCCTTTAGACCAGTTTCAGCTAGTTGCTAAAGACATCCAGGATACCCCTCATGCCGGAGCAGAGGTTTGTAAAGCTTATGATGGGAACACTATTTGCCTGCACAAGAAATGGTATCGGGGTGCCCGGGTGGCTCAGTTGGCTAAGCATCCGACATGGGCTCAGGTTGTGATCTCGCGTTTTATGAGTTCGAGCCCCGTCTCGGGCTCTGTGCTGACAGCTCAGAGCCTGGAGCCTGCTTCAGATTCTGTGTCTCCCTCTCTGCCCTTCTCCTGCTCTGACTCTCTCAAAAATAAACACTAAAAAAAAAAAAAAAAAAAAAGGTATCTAGGAGCTTATTTTAAGTTAACTAAAATCTTTACTTTCCCACCATTTCCTTGGTGTTCTGCCTAATTTCATTTATCCCTTGACAACTTATAACTTTGTTTCATTCTGACACAGAAGGAACCTCTATTATTTAAAATTCTTTTTTAAATGTTTTCTTTGTTTCTGAGAGAGAGAGAGGCAGCGTGAGCAGGGGAGGGTCAGAGAGAAAGGGAGACACAGAATCTGAAACAGGCTCCAGGCTCTGAGCTGTCAGCACAGAGCCCAACGTGGGGCTTGAACCCACGACCGTGAGATCATGATCTGAGCTGAAGCTGGACGCTTAACCGACTGAGCCCCTCAGGCGCCCCGAGGAACCTCTATTAGATGACAAACTCCGTACAGCACAGCCATCTTGGTTGTGTTGCCTGCTGTGTCTATGGGTCCGGGTGCCTGGTGAATGTTCAGTCAGTATCACCCATGTGAATGGGAGAAAGGCTGGACGTGCTGGGTCCCAGGCCCGTCCCAGGAACTTAAACAGAGCTGAGGAAGCAGATCCAAAGGAATGAAATGACTTGCCCGACCTCACCCCGTGAGCCAGAGGGAGTGCTGGACTTTGGACCCACGTCTAACCCCAAACCCAAGTCTTTGGCATCCTTGCACAAACCTACACAAGCAATAGTACTGAAGAGGTTTCTTTTTTCATTATTAGAAGTCTCTGCTTTCTCATCATTGGATTCCTTTGTGACCCATCTTTCATTTTTAAATAGTTATTTTTTTAAAAGATTTTAATTAACATTTTTTAATATTTATTAACTTTTAGGAGAGAGAGAGAAAGAGATAGAGCATGAGCAGGGGAGGGGCAGAGAGAGTGGGAGACACCGACTCAGAAGCAGGCTCCAGGCTCTGAGCTGTCTGCACAGAGCCCGATGCAGGGCTCAAACCCATGAACTGTGAGACTGTGGCCTGAGCCAAAGTCAGACCCTTAACTGACTGAGCTGCCCAGGTGCCCCAAAGATTTTAATTTTTCAAGTCTTATTTATTGATGTAATCCCACACCCAATGTGGGATTCGCACTCACAACCCTGAGATCAAGAGTCACATGCTCC